GTTTGTAAATCGATCTAGCTAGATCTGTACATAGTTTCTGCAAATTAAATAACATATGTTTGTTTGAATAGTATATTGGGGTGTACGGTTCCAATAAGAACATAAGTATATGATTTTGTACAGTTTTCTTTAAAAGAACCCCATGTAATCCTAACTTGTGCAAAATATCCCTTTAAATGTCTTTAGTAGATTCTTGATTTGGTCCTTTGTACAGGGTAGATATTACAAAGCCGAGGAAGTAAAACGACAAGTACCATCTCATGTAGGTAAGTGTGCAGTGTTACAATTTGGTCAAATGGAACATGAAGACCCATTTTCTGTTTCATTTTAAACGCATATTTCCGTACCATCTCCGTAGTGCTACCGCCGTAGCGTTTCCGCCATACTACGTCACTATTTCCGTAGTACTACCGCCGTAGTGTTTCCGGCATACTACGTCACTATTTCCGTAGTACTACCGCCGTAGTGTTTCCGCCATACTACGTCACTATCTCCGTAGTACTACCGCCGTAGTGTTTCCGGCATACCACTGTACCATCTCAGTAGTACTACCGCCGTAGCGTTTCCGTCATACCACTGTACCATCTCCGTAGTGCTACCGTCGTATTGTTTCCGCCATACTACGTCACCATCTCCGTAGCACTACCGCCGTAGCGTTTCCGTCATACCACTGAACCATCTCCATAGTGCTACCACAGGACCATAGCATTTGCGTCTTTTACATCCCGGTCAAAACCGTTTGTAAAGAAGTTAAGGATCGTTCAGTTTTAATCTAATAAAATTTTATCTAATTGAAAATATCAAAAATTTCATATATTTGACGTAAATGGTTTTCGAAAGAGTTCGTATGGAAATGTAAAATTTGTAATTAAATCAAAGTATTTACCCTATCAGCTGTATGTCACATCCGTTCAGACTTGTTTTTGGTGTAACATGGTCGGTAATAAAAAAGTTGTTACGTATAAAATCATCGGCCAGACATGAGCAGGCTAGTTAATTCAATGCAGTCATCTGAGACGATCAGAAATCAGGCGTGTCAATTACTTGTGCCACCTACATGCCCCGGGTGATCTGTTATTTGATATTGGTAAATTCTTCCCTTAATTTTGTGAAGAACCTTGAATGAATATCCAAGAGGCAAATCCAGCTGGAACCATTAACACAATGTTTACACTTTATACAAGGTTCGTGTAAAGATGGCTTACTTGTCAGTAAGGTATCATTAAATTCAGTTCATTTTATAACATTGCGTATATGGTAAAAGGTTCCTAGGTTGTTGTTGTTGTTATCCAGCTTCCTCCTTTTTGACAGATGGACTTTCCATATAAATTATGTGGGAAAATGCACAAAAGACACACAAGCGATAAGAAAACATTAGTGAGATACAGTAGAACCGAATAGTAAATTGAATTGTATCCTATAGCGATTTAACCTTATTAGGACTCATCCGTAATGCTAAATGCTTGAATATCGAAATCTTGGTGGCTACTTAGAAAAACCGAAATTGACCGAAAAAAAATTAGTTCAACTCTATCAAAATCTGGGGCAGGGACATAAAAGTTATCTTAAATTGTCTGCATTGTTGACAATCGCCAGGCTAAGATTGTCCTTGGTGTAGCTATTACGGATTCCAGACAGTCTGTTTCTACAACTGTCTCGTTTCTTCAGTGTAAGAACATTCACCGATAAAGTGATCACGTGTTCCTGGTTCCGTTACACACCATGCAGCTTTGGTCGCCCGAGAATCGGTAAAAAAAATAGCTCTGTTAGATTGGAGTGTACTAGTTCCTATCAGAAGTTTGGATTTTGACTTCCGCACTTTGTATATTGATTCTTCTATCAAAGGTGTAGATATGGTGAGTAGATCCCACCCACACATTCTTTGGATTAATATACTTGAGACTGGTTTTTTCACACTGGCGTCAATAGCTGACCTAACTTCTTGGTAGACTGACACGTAGATCATATACTGAAGGGAGTTTGTAAAGTGCACGTAACCGTCGCATCTTGTCTTGAATGCCATTTACTGCAAACTGTGTATCAAGCGCTTAGAAGTCAATCGAGTCAGGATCTAAAACATTGCGTATACAACAGATTTTTTTTTTTTTTTTTGTGAATATGACAAGATATATTGATTTTCAACTTCCTGTACTAATGGATCGTGTAAGATGTCGTCAACTGACAGACGAACTCACAACACAGCAATTCAAAAGAACCAAGATGATGAAAATGATGGGGAAGTTTAACGGTCGCCATAGTGATCTCATTAAGAAACATTGTATTTCTTTGTGTGTTATGAAGTTGTAGGTGTTTGGTTCTTGTTAGTTTGATTGTTGTTTCCGTTGTTATAAACCTTGTTCTCGATTGAGAACGTGACATTGCTTACTTGAGTTGACCAAGATTTACATGGCAGGTGTCGTCAATGAAGCAGTAGACGCTTACTCTTCCGGAACACATGGTCTTATTCGTATAATTTTTCAGGAGTCTTCCTATAAACATTTCTTTTTTTTCGTATTTTGATCTAGTTTTATTGAAATTCGGTTTGGATTATGATTATGAATCCTGCTCGCGGCTTTTTATTAAATTAAAAAAAAAAGCATACATCAATATGTAATTTCCGTGTTGCTTGTAATAATGAAAATAATGATAAGAAACGACCTTTATCTAAATTAAACCGTTTGCCTTGTAGATATTGGCGATCTTATCATTTTACTAGTACATCTGATGACCATCAGGTATTTCAGCGTCTTCGGAAGAGTGATCTGAATTTGTCACCAAAGACGTCTGACTTCTTTTGGGACAATGTGATATATGTGGGACATGTCGTTTGTGCAGATGGTATCGAGGCTGTCCCATCAAAGATTGAGAAGGTTCGTGACTGACCTGCCACGAACAATGCCGATGAACGTCGCCATTTCTTGGGATTCGCGGAGTAAGTTTGTCAGCAATTTCAGTCAGATCGCATGACCGAGAAAGAAGAGAAAGAGAAAGTAACAACGCCAAATGTAGTCGAGTGTTCATAGACATAGAAGCATATTGAAGCTAAAGGAAATATAACGCAGTCCACTGGTACCATGTTGTCCAGACTTCTCATTGCCCTTCGAACTCCATGTTGATGCTTCAAGGAAAGGACTGAGGAAGGCCAGTGTCGTCTTATTTATTGTGCCAGTCGGTGAAAAAGTAAGTCTGATCGGAATTATCCGGATCTTGAAGCAGGCCTTTACAGAGAAATTCCGTGACTACCTTTACGGGCGGACCTATAATTTATTCACAGACAAGAACCAACTAACATACATTCTACAAAAGAAAAGCAGATGATTGCCTGCTTCATCAACATATAACTGTCAGTGTAGAAGATTGTACGGAAGACACAAAAGTGAATAGCGCATTTTAATACAAATTTAGAGTTAGATACAGTAGAGCCAAACAATGAAATAAACTGTATTAGATAATTTTAGCGTCAAGAACATGTCTATATTCTAAGCCGTGCCACTATTCGGATTGATTAAAAGGTGTCATGCAGGGTACAGAAAACCTCGGAGACTTAAAGAAGTAACTCGGATGTAGAAGTATTGTCAAGTCTTCCAGCTTCGTCGGATATAGGAATTTCTGCCAGTATATACAGAAGAAAATTCCCTGGCAGTGCTGTGAGTAATGGTAATGAGTTGGGTGATGACGTGCAATACATCCAATCCAGCCAAGACGTCTTAGACTTGGAGACAACTGGGGTCTCAGGATCCACTCATCAGCCAAATAACTCCCTTTATTCGTCCAGACAAGAAAATACTTTCTTTAACTGCGGAGAATGCTTCCTTTATGAAGGTCTAGATAGCTTGACATTGAAACGCGGAGTGTTTTATTGTTGTGAATCAACTTGTGGTTGCAGCATGTATGAAAGTGTTGACCTACCTTCATGATCTAGGCGTTAAAGAACTTAATCGTTACTGAAGGACCTCATCTTCTGGCCTGGTATGTCTATAGATGTGGACTGATTGATCAAGAAGTGTCAACAACACAGCGTGTGCCGTTAGTTAAGATAATAATAACACAGCCCACGGAGTTATTATGCCTTGACTACCTCAGCTTGAAGACTTGTAAAGGATGATATTCTTACGTTTTAGTGGTGACGGACCATTTCACGGGGTCCGCCTAAGCCAAACCGACGCGCAGTAAGTCTACTAGGACGCCAGCAGACGCGTTACTTGGCTATATCTAGCACTATGGTATATCTCACCGCTTTAACTCGGACCAAGGAGCTTACATCCTTGGGTAGGTCATTCGGTACCTATGTCAGCTATTGTACATTGAAAAACCAAGATCGTCACCATATCATCCCAGTGGGAATGGGACATGTGAGCGTTTACACCGGACACTAAGGAATATGCTAGGGGCACTGGACTCTGACCAGAAGAGTCCAGAAGAGGGTCGCCTGTCGGACTTTGGATTGGCTGGGGATGTGGATCCAGACAAGGAACCAGATTAAGTAAAAGAGTATGCATCAGTCATTTGAGTTGGCAAGCAGGAAGGCCAGTTATGATATGAAGGCTCGACATGCATTCCTAGACGTTGGTGATCGAATTTAAATAAAGATCTTGCCATTTGAGAGGCAACATATCGAACAGATGGGAGTCAGAGGTAGATGTCGCCAAAGTACAGAACATCCCGGGCGTCCCTGTGTACGAGGATAGAAGTGGCAGATAAGACACTGCACAGGTACAGCTTGCTTCTTGATGGATCTCTACAGATGAGAAAGCCTGTGGATGTAGCTCGCTCATGCCCAGCACCCAGACAAGGACAACGCGAGTCAGAGGCGTTAACCAGCCACGCTGGAATCAGTTGCACATCACCGCCCACCAGGTGATAACGACGATGACTTTGATGTGATAGGGAAGACAAAAAGACTTGTGTTCCGAGGCCACCCCTACCGAACAAAGTTCTGAAAAGGTATCAGTTAATGAATCTGCTGGTCAAGAAGAGTTTAATGACAAAGCTAAGGCTGAATGTCCTCCTATGAACGTAGCAGTGCCACCTTCCACCCTAGTTTCACTCCACATGAAGCACGAGCACCCAGAAGGTCACAGCGTGAAGGACAGTCGCAAAGTTGGGTGAAATCAAAGGAATATATTTGTAACCATGCATGTTTTCATCCAATAGTCGCAGAATCGGAGAAGAAATGTGCCTTCCTATTTAACAGTTTGAACAAGATGTTTGATGTCGCCAAAGGTAACCTTGTAATTATTTTGAATTCTTACGTGAAACCTGTGCATCGTTTATATATGTAATTCTATTTGCTATTGGCTGAGGGGCTAGAGACGGTTGCAAATTGATACAGACTCTAAGAGTTTAAACGGTCATCTCTGGTGACTTGCGTATTATAATAAATGAACATGATGGCATCTAACTACATTACTGAAATTATAAAATTTAATTATCTTCGAGAAGCTTATCAGTTAACTTGTAACATGAACCGTTACCTTAATATTGTTAATTCTTACAAAATCCGATTTTGAAAAAAGGAATCAATAACTTTTAAAGAGTCATCAGTAACATTTACGTCACACAACCGTTCTGTTTGCGTCTTACTTATGTAGTATTACTGCACCACCGCACTATAACAGTATGGTTACCGTTGCATTACCGTAGTGTTACCGTAGAACCACCACACCATTACCGTATGGTTACTGTAGCATTACCGTAGTGTTTCCGTAGCACCACCGCACTATAACCGTATGGTTACTGTAGCATTACCGCAGTGTTACCTTAGCACCACCGGACTATAACCGTATGGTTACTGTAGCATTACCGTAGTGTTACCGTAGCATCACCGCACTATAACCATAATGTTACCGTAGCACCACCGCACTATAACCGTATGGCTACCGTAGTATTACAGTAGTGTTACCGTAGCACCACCGCACCATAGCATTGCCGTAAGATCGAACAGCAAACGTGCACAGGTCTGTACCACAAGTAATTTCATTTAGATATTAAGAAAAAGATTATTTAATTTTGTAATTTCATCAACCACTAGGTAACAAGACAATCTGCAGAGCCCTACAAATATGAAGCAAAATTATATGCTTGATAGAATAATTAGACAATCTGTCCGATGATATCCCCGACAAATATGTTGTTAAGGACGGTAATTGTCGTTTCTAATCAATAAATATTGTTTAATTGAAATAAAGAAACCATTTTCAATACAGAAAATAAACAGATCTTCTAACAAGGATCTCTTAAACTTAATGTCCTTCAACCATTATTCCGTACTAAGCGTAGAAACCCAGGCGAGATTGTCGCTTATTTTAGGCTCGGTAGAATTCAAAATTCTTTTCTTGTGTCTCATATCAAATGGAACCTTGCGTCAGATACATTTTAAGTGAGTGTTTTCTAATTGATACGTAATATTTCTATTTTGAGATCAATTTATGTCGCCTGTCACAGGTACGAACCCTAATTGCTTCGACAATAGAACTAACTGTCAGGACTACATTGACCACGATCGCACCATCTGCAGTTCAGACTCTCCGTATTATGGCTGGACAACCACGAACTGTCAGGCCTCCTGTGGTGTCTGTCAAGGTCAGTCAAGGTTTCAGAAACATTAAAGGTAACGAATGTCAGGTGAAGGTCAAATTGTTGAAGTTTCACCAATCACATGTGTGTAATTGTGGTTCTATATACGACTTAGATTTAGTAACTTAATATTACAGATAGATATACCTGGTATTTTTCTTTATTTTTAAGTTTTACATGTATGAACAGCTGAAGTATCCGGCCAATATGATGCTTCCGATTTTTGAACAAGTCTTTTAATCTCTTTTCATTAAGGGTTTCATTGCTACTATCATAATGTTGTTATTCCTACAATCGTTATTTATCAGAATAAATCATCTCCTAACCCGACTTTGCCGTTTCCGACGGAAGTAATTTTCTAGATGAAATAATCATTATATTCGTGTTTCAGCACGACTTATTTTCAAATGAAGATATCAGTTTCGGTCCGTTGTGCTTTGACAGTCGACAGTGTTATTCCGGGTTTTTTTGCGAATTTGATGGATGTTTGAGCTCTAATAATGTGATAAAATCCATTATTTCTTCATGTCTTTTATGTTTACATAGCAAGTCTCTAACCAATAATAATATTGTTTACGTATTTTGTCACTTAACCTGATTTCTGAGGTCTTCCCTGCTATCATTATAATGTTGTAATCCCCACTTTGTTGTAGGGTACTTTCTATCAGATTAAATAATCTATTGACGTTTTCCATTCGTTTCTGTTTAAACAATATTCCGATGTGTATATTTCTCTAGATATTATCAAGGATGGTTTTCAAGCGGCTTTCCTGTCCTGTTACTGTCCCTTTTGCTTAGTTTATATTGAAATACTGGTGTCTTATTTCTAATGTCCTGACTTGAAAACAGTTTACGTCTCGCATTGTTGTATGTTTTAGCTCCGCTTAGAGCTATGCTATTTAGCACCATAATTTCGTGAAACAGTTACGCTTGATCTGTGAAGTAATTTATTACCTATATCACATAGCTGTTACATTCATCACAAAGGACTCCAAATATGAGTTGTTGTAGAATCCAGTCGCTGTGTTGTATGTTGGTCGTCTTTTACGTGATGATATTTGTTATTGTTTCGAAAGGCTTGTTACACAAGAGGGGTTGTTTTTTCAGATGTCAGCGTGGCTTTCTTAGCAAAGCTGCAAACGTAAAATACGAAAGCGTCAACAACTCAAATGGTGTCGATTCAATAGAATTCTCCATTGCCTACAATCGCGAAGCATAGAGATTAAGACTGATTGTGTCTGTAAATACACATGTAGAACACCAACTCCAAAGATTGTACAAAAGGCGAACAACACCTTTTAATACAAATCTAGAGAAAAATACAGTAGAGCCAAACAATGAAATAAACTGCATCATACGGTTGTTTCGTCCTTCTAGGACTCGTCAGTGATGCTACATCATACAGTTGTTTCGTCCTTCTAGGACTCGTCATTGATGCTGCATCATACGGTTGTTTCGTCCTTCTAGGACTCGTCATTGATGCTAAGGGCCTTAATTTGGAATCATGGGAGGCAACAGAGAAAGTAAAAAGTAATCGAAAGCAAAGTAAAAATCTAGACGGGGATGTGCACTAGCCTCGTTACTAGATAAATATCATGACTTTTATATGTGCGATAATTTTAGAACAGCGTCAGTCATATGTGTATATTCTTAACTTTGCACTATTCGAATGAATTGAAATGCAAGTAACGACAAACCTCGAGAAGTCCACTAGCAGTATCTTCTTCCTGCTATCTCAAAGGTTGTACAAAAGAGACACGAGTTACTAGAAAGTTTCAGTACATTTCTAGAGTTAGCACCATGACAGCTTATGGAGTTCCTGCATTTGTTGTCATTGTAGAAGTAGTAATGTTGTAGAAAGTGCATTCTGATAATGTCGTTCAGTTGCCAGATATTTTCTTCAATGTTCAATGTTTTCATCATAACTGTTTTAATTGTCCTGGATTGCGATTCTGATACTAGCACGTTCGTTTACTAACTGGCTTTATTTTGTTGCTTTAATAGCAATTTTATTTAGATAAAATGATTTGTGAACTTCAGACAAAATCTTTAGATAATGAAATGATCATTATATTTTGTTTCTATAAACGTTTGTTGTACTATCTGTGCAGGGCCGCCGGTTTGTTTAGTGTGATTTTCATTGTGCAATCCCAGTGAAACATCTACTAATCCACCATCGTGTTCATATAAATGTGTAAAAATCTTACTTTCGTATTCCATGTTTCCATGGTACATGTGATGCCCCACGTGGACCAATAAATCCATTTCATCTATCTTTCTGCTGAAATGAGTATCTTAACATTTCTTTTTTTGTCTAAACTATCCTCATGGGGTCACAGGTGGACCTACTACTACAGAGCATGTCTGCGTGGATGAGCTTAACTACTGTGACACATTCGATATACCCAAGGCATGTCTTGATTTCCCCAAATGGGCCGCCGAGAAATGTCGTCGCACGTGTAGTATTTGTCAAGGTAAACCACGTGTGTCATGGCGAATTCAGTCATGTGTGCCCTGATTAATTAAGTTATGCATGCAATGATTTATTAATGCACGTTTTATCGGATTAAGTTCTGAATGCACTGACGGCGTAAGTTTGGAGTTGTATGTAAGTTGTATGTGTCAATTTCGGAAGAAGTCAGTCATAGGTACCACGTCGGTGTCATTGGTGTCAATTCTGGGTAAATCATGCGTATTATCTCGTGGTTAGTTATGTGTGCCTTTCGGGGTAATGCGTATTATCGTAGTAAATCATGTGTAACCCTGACAGGGTCAGTCATGCGTGTTATTTTGGAGGAAGCCATGTTCGTCCTGTCCAAATGGAATAATATGTGGGAACTTTTAATTTCGTACAGGAGGTCCGACGACACCGACGCCCTTGTGTGTTGATACGCTGACCACGTGTGGTTCATTTGACATCCCACAGGCTTGTGTGGAGTTCCCGAAATGGGCTTCGGAAAGCTGTAGATTCACGTGCAACGTCTGTACAGGTAAATATTACCTATATTTTCATCTTGTGTTTCTACAATTTCCCTATTAATCGTCCGTTCCAGAAAAAAGGACTAAGATTGATAAATTAACAGAAATGTTCCAAATAAATATATTCCCCCATGACTTTCAATGCAAAGTTTACGTAGATGCCAAGGTAGCTCAGTCGGAAGAGAGTTGACAAATGTAACCTGATGTGAAGACCCGAAGAGTTTTCGATGATCCCTACTAGTAGCGGTTTGTGGTTCCAAGGAAACTAAGAGACGGGTCAGTCTGTGCTAATGTGGCTGTATCAATGGAAAAGACGCTTTATTTAAATTGTTAAATTGGATGGCACACTATAAGCCTCATGTACGCTATACAATAAAGTAGCAACTAGCGAAAGGTTACCTTTGTTGTTATGCTATATGTGTCCGACTTTATAAATATACACAAAAAATAATTAAATAAACATATATCGATTCGATTTTGTAACGAAAAATAAGAGAAAATAATTCAAATTTCATGCCTTCTATTATATTCTGTTTCAGTGTTAGAGCCACCCACCGTGAGGCCTCTTGCTGTAGGGCGGAAGTGACGTGTCTAATCCTTTCACTATATGTATATGTAATATTGTTATATTAGGATTCTATTTCTATAAAACATCGATATATAAAAGTACTCGATTTCGGTTTTATCTATAATTTTGACACAATCCTTTGGGGACAAACATAATTATTTAACCATAAGAAATAGGGTTTCATCTTAGTATGCTTACTGAACTCCCGTGGAAAACTGCAAAACATCTTCAACTGCTATAATAGGCTAATCAGAACCAAAAATTTAAAAAGTACTTTTTTACCTCATTAACTTGATTAAATTTCCATTCATGAAAAAGATTTGCGGTTAATATCATTTTCAATTAGTTATACAATGAACGAGGAAATATGATGTTTATTTAGTGGTCAAAAGCTTAAGAAATATCTAGCCAATGATGTCTACACTCATACTTCATGTTGAAAACCAAGTAAACCCAGTTAGGTATAAATCAAACAGTATTTGATCAGAACACATCTGGACATAGTGATTTCAATAAAAGAGAGTTTTCTGAAGAAAAAAATATATGATAGACTTGGCAGAGGAATCGTAATTTTATATTAATATTATATTACCAAAGGCATTTCCTAATGCGCTGAAGCAATTTATTGATCCTTACATAGGGACGAAAAGAATAACCAAGATTTGTTTTCTTCATGAAAATGACCAATGAAATGCTCCATCTATTAATGATGGAGAACAATTTTGACCTTTCTACTTTTTACGTCAACTGCATGTAGTCTGCTTTTCAAACAACAGAATTAGTGTGGGCTTCAAAAATCTGAGGTCAAAACTGAGGGTGAAAAATGAAAAGTCTTAATAATAAAAGCTATCATTCTGTATAACAATAGGCTTATCCCTGAATAGCGAAAAAATGTTCCAGATTGGCATCCCTCCTTTCAGAGAAAATAGTGTCGAGGAGTCATGTACTTTTAAACATTATATAATGTTTTATGAATGAAATTCTTGGTAAAACACAGACAAGATAATGTTCATCGAAAAAATTTATAAGGGTTTAAAAACAGCATTTCTGAAATCCTTAAACCTATATTGTGTTAAGCACGTGTATGGTGAACTAATTATGGGGTCTATATACTGTATAAAATAGCAATGAATCTACATTCTGATAACCCTTAGCGGTACAAAGTAAATAGCTTTGGGGCTTGTATATTGGTAGTATAAAGAAAATATAAAGACATAGTCATGGGATAAACATCCTGAAAGTGATAAAGAAATAACTACGGGGTATGCATCCTGAAAGTGATAAAGAAATAACTATGGGGTATGCATCCTGAATGTGATAAAGAAATAACTATGGGGTATGCATCCTGAAAATGATAAAGAAATAACTACGGAGTATGCATCCTGAAAATGATAAAGAAATAACTATGGGGATGCATCCTGAAAATGATAAAGAAATAACTACGGAGTATGCATCCTGAAAATGAAAAAGAAATAACTATGGGGTATGCATCCTGAAAATGATAAAGAAATAACTATGGGGTATGCATCCTGAAAATGATAAAGAAATAACTATGGGGTATGCATCCTGAAAGTGATAAATAACTATGGGGTATGCATCCTGACAGGAATAAAGAGATAGAAATTATGTTTAGATGTATATGAACAATCGTAAATGACACTAATATCACGAAAAGAGTTATTTCCCATCTCTTATACGTTTTAATGCTTTAAAGCCAAACTATGCTACATATGCTATTAAATTCTGAATATCGTATGAAATAATGATTATATTCCTGGTACAAGAGCTAACGATCCAACAGAAACTGAGTTTTGATATCCAGAGAAATAAATGGTATTAAATGTTGTTTAACAATTGCAGCACACAATACCTCTGCGTATTAGATGACAGAAATACCATTACATCATAACATCATATCTGTCTCAATTTCTTTAATGAATCATGTATACTTTGTGCGTATTTGACGTTTTTTTTTCGATTCGATTGTGAAAATCCTGAAATGTATTTAAGTCTGAGTTCACTGTACCGCTCCATCTGATTTTTGAAATTCGTTGTGACCGATTTTAATTTTCCTCCGTCGCCTCCTAAGCTTTCTAATTTAGGCACGTTGTATCATTGACGATCCCTAGACAGATATGACTACAGTTTCATGCAGGGATGCAGCTTAGTTATTACATAACTCTTCTGTATCTAATTCTACGTATCTAAATGAGTTATTCTCTTTTATTGCACAATATTGTGTACAATCACCGACAGAAAATAATCGGGATAGTATTAGGTTGGTTTTAAGATGTTTATGTAATTAATAAGAACGGTTCCATGAGTTCCTCAGATGCATTATTAGATACTATGTAATCCCAACGAAGAACGCGTAGGTAGGAAATACATGCTAAAACATAGCAGTTATGAAATAAGTGTACTTCAGCGGTAGAGATAACAGACACGTTAAATGAAAAAATCACATAGTTTAATTATCAAAAATATGGCAGTGTACAACAATGTACAAGTATATGTATTTAGCAAAATAATGCAGTAATCAGGTTCACTTTCCGGGCACTGCAAATTAGTTTTTGCGACAGATTTATTTCCTTGTGATGTAAATATCGTAAGATATGCTTGCATCAAAAACCGATAACTTTAGTAATGTATTTACAGTTAAGCATTTGTATCTTTAACTTTCGTGTATTGATCAATCTTAGTGAAGACAAAAAAGATGTCGGCGCAAGTAGCTTTTATCACGCGCAAATCATTGTCACCTCTTTAGAAATCCTATATGTTGCACATTAACGACCGGGATTAATCTACGACATTATTGAATTTTTATTGCTCAATGTCCTACCATAACGACATAAAAACTGAAGGTCTGACGTTCTCTATTGTTTTTAATCGAATACAATTTCATCACCAATACAATTTTGTATTTTGAAATGAATTGAAAAAAATAAACAAAGAATATTCTAGCACGATCAGCTTTGCCCGAGGGTTGAAATCCCCTTGTCCCATCCACAAAGAAGTGAATGAATATACTTTTTTCTCACACCCTGCTAGTCATCTTAATTCTTAATGTTGTTGACGTTACGTATTTTATGGAAAGTTGATGTCATCCGTTTAAACCCTCGGATGACAACATTGCATGCATACGAATGTCAACAGGGTAAGAGACATTATTTATCTACCTCATACGGGTGATCCTAAGCATATTAAGCACGTAAACACTGGCAAGCTTCTTGTTTTACAACGTATCATTTTCCATTGATTTGAGATTCTCGTCTCTAGACTCAAAAGTGTTGAAAAAAATATAAAAAATGAAACCCAACATGGTTTATGAAAATGAGAAAAAAAGAAAAAGTTTTAAGCAATGATCATATATACATTTTTGATATCTTTTTATGTAATGACAAGCGTTTGTGCTATGATAGGGATATGAGCACGCATGTTTGGTGTTGTCTTAGGGCTAGTTTTTTGATGTGCAAGCAAAACAACATTACTGTGGAACGCATGACGTAGCAATGGAAATATGAAAATAGAGCACATGATATATACTGATATGGAAAATTGCCACGTGGCACAATTTCATTAAGTACACTTCAAATCTGTCAAACAATTTGCTTGAAAATATTTTGCATTGTACTTTACATGATCACAGATTACAATATCTTCTGTACTTATAATGGATTATTGTCTTTCATAATTCTATTACAGAGCCGCATTGGCCAATCAAACATGACTTACAAAACTACTTTGATATTTCATGTTATGTGGTGATAACATGAAAAGAAAATAATCAATGAATATGCTTCTTTCATTGAGAATTTAACTATATTATCATATTTCAAAAGCAAAGATGTGGATGCAAATATGTAGATAAATCCTGACTAAAATTATATACACAACACAATTTGAAACACAACTACGTTTTATAAGACTATCAAATTAAACTAATTTCGGATATTCATTGCGCTTCCCTGTTCTTCAGAAAAGCAATCGCATGAACTCGAAAAATGTAAATGCATAAGAAAATCATACGCTTCACAAAATATAACCATAAAATCCAGGTTCTATCTTTCAGGCATTTCCTCTAATGGTACCCACATTTTTGGAAACGGCGCATGCGTGGCGGGTCTGCATTTGTGATCCGGGTCACTGATAGGAGGTCGCCATTGTCCATTGACACACGTTGCGCCACTTGGTCCTTCCAATACGAAACCATCCTTACATCTAAATAGTATCCGATCTCCATGTCGTATTGTTTTCATGTAATGTCGGAAATCAAATATTGCACGAAGACCATTCTTGTAAATTTTTCCATGTGCAATCGTTCCAGGGTTTGGACAATAAACTGAAATAACATCGAATTTTAAAACAATAATTTTGACTTTGTAAATACAAAAAATGATATAATTGAAGCGTTGATACTAATTTAAATGTGCTGTCAGTTCAAGGAAACACACAGTTCGCCAACACAATGGCATATTTGGGAACGTCAGTTTGGTTGTTTGAATAAAAAATAAACCTTTCAACAGCCAATTCATACAGTATATAATACCATGTGTACTTACACTCCTTACAGACTGGTTTTCCTCCTGTCCATAAGCCGAATTTACAGGTAAGAAAAGAGTTGTCGGCAGGCATGCCCCGAAGACGGTAGCCATTCCGGCAGATGTATTTAGCTCGACTGTTGTGCCGTAGACCGTCGAACACTCTCAAACCATTGTCAACGTGAGGCGGGGGACGAGGACACGAGGCTAAAAAGTCAAATTATGGCAGATACAATACAATTCATGAAAACCAATATCAATATATCGATTTAAGATTCAAAACTGCAAATGGGATTGGTTTTGTCCTATGTTTTACAGTAAACCAATTCTATATAGAACGAACACATCAATACACATATTTTTCTTTACATGGCGACTTAAAATTCCAAATAGAACTCATTGTCTGGTAGTCAATACAATATTTCGTTTTCAGAATACGCCTAATATTTAAAAAGGGTGAAATTTATTGAATCATGGCGCTAATGCATCTCTTCGTCAAGGTTTTTATATCTATTTCGATAGACTGTCTGAGAAGCTTTGAATAATTTAAGCCTTAGTATTATTGACGAATCCTAGGACAAAACAGCTGTATGATCAATTTATGATCTATTTATCTTTACCTTATCTAATTTTTAATTTAATTGTAAGGTGTTTTTGTCTTGTTTTTTATTATTTTTACGATCATTAAAATAATTACCTGAATATATTTGCAAGACAGGTTTTGTGTCTGTCTCTATTACAGAATAAAAACGCACTGAGTGTTGAACATAAAGTAATTAGTTATTTCATTTCTGTGCATTCTTGATAAAAAAATCTATGCTTATTATTCGTGTTCAATCTAATTACCTGGTACACAACCTGGCATTGAAGTCCATGTGCCGTTGTAACATTGCACACGATTGGTTACATCCGGGACGAGGCCGTTCGTACATTGATAATTCAGCTCGAAGCCACTCCGCACCCATTCGCCCTCTCGATACTTCTCCAAAGAGGCGTTCAGTATATTTGGAATCTGACATTGACCTGGTAATCGAATAATCTAAAAGGTCTATGCACATTCAGTGGCAGAATCATGTGCAAGCATTAGAAATTTATGTTGTTTTGAGAAAACAAGATTCTTAGATGGAATTCTAAGACTGCTGAACGTTTCCAAGAATTGTGTTTTGTTAAAATACTGATACAATAAAACGCAATAAAACTCATAATCAATAAACCAAAGAGAGTAAAAATGAAGGCTTTGTCAGTAGATCATTGAAAAAGTACACGGAGAATAAAGCCGTGTGGTCTGGAAGGGTAAGCATCTTCTGCTTCATCGGCAAAACCCACAATTCAAACATTGGCTAATCCTGCTAAGCAATGTCGTTTTCTCGCATGACAACAAAGTTAACAACGAAACCGCCAGCCTTGCTAAAGATGATCTAACTTCATGACTCACGAGGACAGTAATCAACAAATTACGATAAACTCTAAAAAATATATATATATATATATATGTGTGTGTGTGTGTGTGTGTGTGTGTGTGGGTGGGTGGGTGTGTGTGCTTTCATGCAACTGGAATACAAGGATTATATTACTAATCATTCTTTACATCTCGTATTATACTAAATTGAGCAAATTAGTGAACCCAAATATTTCTAAAACTGCAACATTGAAAACCATTGTTCCTCATCACCAAGCAGTAGGCAATGGCATAACGTTACTTACCCCAGCACGTAGGTGGAGGAGATGACCACTCGCCGTTCTCTAAACACCTCGTAGACAGCGAGATTCCATCAAAATTGGTACGAACTGCGCAACTGTACAAACGAAATACTCGTTAACCACCAGACGTACAAAATTACAAACGCGAATCTATCGGAAAGTTGTTTTGTGTATACAAGCATACAAAGACACACAAAAACACACAGGCCACACACAACCCCGCACACACCACCCTTCCACAACAGCTATCTTTCACAAATATGTCCCTCACTAAACAACTCTAGCCTCTATTTCTAGTCAGGTCCTCAGTGACTCCATTTCTCTTGCATATTCCAAAGTATGTACTAATCAAATGCGAGACATTGATTTTTGTAGGGTTTTATATATCATTATTTTCGAAGATGGAATAAAATCGCGAAAATTAGATTCCCTATCGATAAGAGAAAACGATGGGCCTGTATTGCTCATCTGGATATTTCGTTTTTTCAAAACATATTAATCATAATTATACTGTTGCATTTCAAAAGTTCCTTTTGGGTCCGCCCTCAAGAGTTTTACGTAGGAAGAAAAAGATGGAAGGGTGCGCGGTATATCTATGTCCGCTCTTGCTCGCTTTGTGTTTATTCGTTTATTGAATTAGCAATTACAAACACTGATTGGTGACAGTCGCCTTTTCATCATCCTTATTGACGGTAAAGGGTCATAAAGGGCACAAAAGACAATAATACGAAATCCATTATTTTCTAAATTTCATTTCTTCACCACATTAAAACGGATTTCCTCAATGGCCATAGTGTCAGGCACTACTAGGCAGAGTGAACAATATAATTTCATTATAATAAACTAAAGTTTGAAAACACGAAATTTAATCAATGTTTTGTCATTTGAAATCAATGATTGGAACTTAAAGAAGGGCTTTTAATAAAGACGATAAAAAAGATTGTCAAGTTGCCCAAGGAATTTAACCATAGTGATAATATCTTTAAATTTAAAACCCCGACATGCATGTCTTTCCCATAGTCGATAGGTCACACTCACCTGAAGAAAAGCTCGGACCCGACTGTTGTTGCTTTACCCAGGACATAACCATTATAGAACGGCACCGGCAGGCGACAACTAACCTCTGTGAGAAAAAGTTGTTCTGTAAGTAAGCAAGGCCTTGGTAGGTTTGTTAAGAGATAGGAAGGTTAGGCGGGGGAAGTGCACAAGCTTTGGGTGACATGACTACACCAACACATCATACTCCAGTTCCGGAAACCTTAGTAGGGTCAGAGTTCATTCCTGCTAGTCACAACACTGTTGGTATCATACACAAGTGAAATAAGTACAAACTGCATTTCAAACTAGACGCTTAATCACAATGAATTTAACACCTGGAGAAATATACAGGTGTTAATAGACACACGTTTACAACAAAACAGAAAATAAAATAGTGCAGCCATGCATTTACTAACTACACATACACCTTTACCGTGTATATTCCGGCCATTGTCATAGTAACAGTTTGATTATTGTAAACGAAAATCCTTTGGTACAACTATATCTTAAATACCTCGAAGAACCCTCTACTACACACATTAAGTAAGATTCAGACTTTTGAAAGGAAACAAAATACAAACATATCCCGTTTCTAAGTTAATTAATCTGAATGGATGAACTCTGACCCGATTGGTTTCAGGATTTCGGAGTCTGTCTGGACGTGTACGAGACATGGTAATTTTTAATGAAACTTACTATTGGGCGAGTCCCATCTCGAGCTCGAGAATTTGTTTCGAGAGGAGACACCTGGAGAGCGAGCTAGAAGTCAACAATAGGAGAAACGTCACAAATGCTGACGTTTCCCTTTTAAATACATCTTCAGTGCTATTGGCTTGTACGAAACGGGAAATATTTTTTTCAATGAGTAATTAACAGGTTTTAAGAGTTAATATTTATCTAAGTTATCTATGATGACAATTCTGACCTCGAAATGCCTTCTCGAAATTAACTTACAGTATATTCAGTCTATAATTATGCTTTGGTTAGTCTGATGATGAATTATTGTAATGAACGATGATGTATTTTCAGAATTGAAGAATGTTTTGAAATAAAGGAAAAAGGCCACAATTACAACAGTATTCTATTGGAGAGTTTTCAGTTTATCTTTCTAATGGCTACATGTATTTTACCTTGACAGAGAACGGAATCGCCGCTCCACGTTCGATCTGCTTGACAACGCCTCTCCACAGAACCTGACAGTTGGAATCCCTTGTTACATTCAAACCGCAAAACAGTTCCAAATGCATTCCCAGAGCCCACCATCGTCCCTTCGAGAGGTGCTCTCAGTTCTGTGCACTCAACGGCTGTATCAAATACAGATATCACAATCATTTAAGCATGTCCATCTCATTAACACGATAATGAATACATAATTAGCGTATCAACTGCTGCGTTATTTCTAACGCGACAAATTAAAAGTAAAGGATATACAGTTTCCATAGTTACTGGTTCTTAGGATGATGTTTTCTTTGTTGGCTGGGTTTGTCGCCTGTGAACAGTATCGCTTATTTTGAAGTAGGGGTCTCCTTGCAACACTCGGTGGCAACCTTACCGAACAATTGGGTAAATTTGGTGAATGAAGCATCTTGCAATGGACGCAACACCGATGACACAGACCGGTCACTTGATCAGTGTCATGTAAAACACAAACCACCATGGGTATGGGGGTCGAACCACGCGCCTCGTATCTTCGGCTGAAGACAAGTTACACAAGCAAATGCTCTAACCGACTATCGCACCCCTCCTTTTATGGTGATAAAAATACAAGGAATCCATGATAAGACTAACGTGGTACTCGTTAACTCTACAAAGGTCAAAAGAAAATTTGTAACATAGTAAATCTTTGTCCTTCTGATCTTCTTTTCTTGCTTTGTCAAAAGTCTGGATGGAAATATTTCCTTTGTTTGCATGATTCTCTTTGCTGTTGTTTACACATTATCATTATTATAAATATTGTTGTTTTGAACATTTGACGAGGGTTCCTTGGCTGTATTTGCAGAGTTAATTGTATTAAATCATTCTGACGATATCATCGTCATTTAATTTAATTTTCCATTGTTTAGAAAAGAGAGTTGTGAAGTGGAGTTTGGAATGCTGAAAGTGTACAACGTAGAGGTGGCAAATGTTTTAATGGAAAAAAATGAACACTAAGCAAGCTGACTTTGTTCGATATATTTCACTTGTGACTCTTTTAGAAACAGAATCTTCCTTGCAATGCAGTAGTAATCAATATTAATGTAGTCTTCAACGTAAGCCATTCAAGAATTCACAGTTCCTTTCAAAGTAAGATTCTTTCGATACTCTTAATGGACGCCACAATGGATAATTGAACAGAACAGTTTTGCTATGTTGGCATAATAGGAAATGGTGCAAACATGTCTATTCTAAAGCTTACTTCCACTTTGTAGTGTATTTGAGAGAGCTGTCGAGATGCAACTAATGCAGGAGTTACTCCCCTTACGAATATAGACTACACAGATGTTCTGAGCCTGAAAGATGGTTATTGTCAAAAATATGGTTATCTTGAGTGTTAGTGTTATACCAGTTCAGAATTACTATGATGACTATAGTCAAACTTCTGATTATCTGTATTTTGGCAGGTAAATCATCAACATAATTTGCTCCTAATATTTCAGCATCAGCATCATCGTCAGCGTAAGCTATTGTAACTGGAAGTCATCATACAATCTATTCGAAGAAAATACAGCAATGTAAAGTCATAAACTTTAATGAAGTTGGGAATTAGTTCATCCCCCCATCTGAGATTTGACATTCATTTCGACCAGTTTATATTTCCATGTAGTCGCTTCTTGGGTTTCTCGGATTTAGGCCCTTAGTTTCAGTGACACGTCCTAGAAGGACGAAATAGTGCAATTTAATTCACTGTCTTATTACCTATACATTTTGGTAGAAATCCCGACCATTTCTTGTTTTCCTCACAGGTCCGAGTTCTCTGTCCGATAAGTTCGTAACCCTCGTTACAATGGTAATTGACTGATTCTCCGAAGAAGAAGCGATGCCCCGACTGCCAACCGTTCACGAGGTTCCCGGGAAAGCCACAATTGATCGCTGCAACGTGATGAAAACAAAAGGGAGATAACCAAGGTACTTTGATTTCGATATATGTCAAAGGTAAGATAAATGTAAGATATTGTTTATTCTTGGAAATGCATATAAATGTAGCATCCATTTTCCTTTATAACAAAAGATTTTAATTTTTCCAATAAGAGGTCGATCGACAAAATCGATCAATATTAGACAAGTTATGCAGACACAGATATCACATTCCGAATTACCTCGACCATTTTGGTCCAGATCTGTGAGAGTAAGTATAGACAGGAACCATGGAAATCTTACATTTACGATTATATGTACAACATAAGAGTCGTGAGATCATAGAGGACCATGACCTTCTAGTACTTAACAGATATAGCGCTAGCAATAATTAAATAGTCCATCAAATAATGATGGTGGGCTGAATTACACTACAGCATCGTGAAAGAAGCTCCATAAGAAACCATGCAACAGGGAAAAATACAAAAATGTGTCATCAGATTTCATACGTCTACATATTAGTCTTATTCCTAGCCAGGTCCAATCGCCGTCCGTGTTACACATGGCTCTCGGATCTCCCTCCATGTCGTAACCTCGATCACACGCATACGTCAGCTGTTGCCCGGATGAAAACGTCCCACCAGTCTCGATATCCATAATGATGGCGTTCGTGATAATCGGCGGTGATCCACATGTCACTGTAATAGAGGATATGGGCGTGACTAGAAGTAGATGAATTGACTGGTTATATACTATTTCCAAGTAACGTAAAACCAGCATATTAGTACAGTGGTCCTGATGTTTCTCCGCTATATCTTCCTATGTAGTCTAACATTCTGATATATCACTGTCCGGTTTAGGAGAATCCCCTACCTGTATGTGTTCGAGATCGATTTTTCTCTGTGTTGTGCTGACATTCTGTAACAAATTCTCATCAGACGAGACTAAGATAAATAGATCTCCAACATATACGAGTAATAGATTATATTTCTCGTACATAATTTTGTCAAAATGACATGACATTTTCTCGGACAATTTTATTTTGAGATTTTTCTTATATGTCATTTACTTCCCTTTACGACTGTACGTCATTAGAAAGACTGGGAATTACGTAACAAAGGACTGGTAATTCCGTTAGAAAGGTCTTGAGAGTCTATTAGAAAGGCTGGGAATTCCGTAGGAAAAGACTGTGAATTCCATAAGAAAGAACTCGGAATTCCGTTAGAAAGACGGGAAATTCCGAGAGTAAATTACTGAAGTCTCCCATAAGATAGACACACCGTATTCAATGTTGCACTATACGTAGAATTATTTCATATTCGTGTTGAAAATTTTGACAGTTCCATATTTTTTCTTGTACCCGGTCTATGCATCGAGAAATTCACACCATTGACTATCTGTCCTATCTCTTACTGATCTTGATCAAACATTTGGTTCGGTAAAGACGTCTTGTTGTTGATGTCATTGTTACTAGAGACGTGTAACACGACACACAAAAGCAACATCATGCTTCTTACTCGTAATTTGGATTAGACAAGGATGCTAAAAGTACATTAGGTCACTGATTTCGCAGTAAATGGATCGTGTGCCTGTAGCGCCATATATTGTACGACCGTGATTTAAAGTACTTCGGAATTTCTAATTGTTATACCGGCTGAATTGAACATTAATTCTAAAATTAACATATTAAGCCAGTCTTCTAGTAGTTGCACATTCTTTATCTTCTATATATATCACCAATCAATAATCCGATCTCGGTAACGTTTATGGTGTGAAGCGCCATCGGTATGCCTGTCGTAAAATATCCGTGGAGCGATGCTCATTCAACTGACGTCATCAGTCGCATCATCGAAGTAAATGCTGCTGATTATATCAGGCGTACCCTTAACCACAACGAGGCTGAGTCTTACCGAAACGACGCCATAGTGGAGTATTGATGCAATAAGCGAATCTTCGCATCACGTCATCAATCGAGACAACGCGTCTTGCTCAAACGTCGTCAAATAGTTAATCGGAAGACATCATCAGACCGCGTTATACCGAATATCTTCGTTCGTATTTTAATATCGTCTAACTGAGATATGTGAAATAAAGCATGGTTATTGGAAGACGACTTCATACCTCGTTTAACCAGAATATCTTCGCGCCTCGACGAATTTTAATTTCGTCTAAATGAGATATATGAAATAAAACACCGTTATTGGAAGACAACGTCGTCCGTACTTGCTATCCCGGTTACCAAGGTTTGAACTTCTCTGTCCGTTGATCCTCACATTATGAAATACCGCCATTGTCAATTTAGCTTACATTGTAAAATGATTCATGTATCGTATGAGTTACCTTTCTCGCAGCTTGGCTCCCGTCCTCCCCACGTGCCATCCGCGAGACATTCGCGCTCCTCGCGCCCAGCCAAGAAATAACCATGTTTACAGAAATATTGCAGTTTGGCTCCTGTTGTAATCTGGGTAGGAGGAATAATCCCGCCGTTCTCGATTGAAGTGTTGTTTAAAGGACATCCGGCATCTAAAACACACGATATTGTAGTTTGCCGGATATATCAACGACATTAAATAAAATCATTTCATGCAATATTCGTTCAGATTTGTAATTTAAATGTTGAAATTTGCATGAGGAACCCATACATTTGTAAAACATGTCTGTGTTGTACTTTTCATATCATGCACATCATCAACATTGTCCTTTCCCGTCCATTTACATGTATTATCTCTTTACATATACATCGTAACTGAACTTGAAGCCTTGTTATAGGATATACCATTACTACTCACGACTACATGTCATGTTGGGTCCCACCCATCCACTCCGCACACACCAGGCACGGAAAATGCTGCCCCTGTTTGATGTGAAGCCCGGATCACACTCGTACTGCAGCATGACTCCTTGTTCATACGACATCCGCCATGGTTCTCTATCGTGCTTAGCATTGTGAACCACCGGTGGAGGTCCACATTCGGTGCTCACTAACATCAGGAAATAAAAAACCGAAACATAAAACAAAAGTATCTACAATGTATAAGGTTGTTATAAAGCCATCTTTTATCAAAACTAATAAAAAAAACATAGATAAAGCATGACTTTACTGTACTTCATATGAGCAGTGCTTATACCACATGTGATAAATGTATCATAACCTTTAGCCTCTACCCTTTCTCTGATATATTATTGTAACCTCCAGTATACAGTCACACTTAATGACATTGATCTCTTCAATCAAATAAGGAAGTAAATCTATCTCACAAATTCCGCAAATAAGTTTGCGTCTTTTACCTGGAGGAAAGACTCAGTTTTAAGAATAGGAATGTACACATAATTTAAAATCAAAAATTATTTGCCCTTTTTTATTGCAGCCACAATAAACCTGGCCTGTGTGACCTGAAATCTGGTGGTGTATAAAGGTTATCAAGGTTTGACTCCCATACACCTGAACTACACGTATCCGATGATTGGTTGAATTTTATCGTTTCTTTTTATTTCTCTCCACAATATGACACAATATGACAACATATACTCCATATTGTTTGGCTTTCGTTGCCGTGAAGTTGACCCACCTGTGGCCTCAGCACTGACAATACATTCCGGTTCCTCGTTACTCCACTTCCCGTCTCCTTGACACACGCGCCTGGCCACGCCCCTAATCTCGTAACCATCGTCACAGGAGTAGCGAGCCACAGCGCTGAACTTATTGTAGGGCACCACCTGCACAGATCCGTGTGTGATCCGTTTCGGGAGAGTCGTACATTTCATATCTGTAAAAAGAACAAAATCAGTTCTAAAAATTTGAAAAAATATAAAAAAAAAAAATCTGTATACTTTACAGATATTCAGATTTCAGGAGCCTAATATTTGGCGGCTGTAACGGTCGGAACTAGTTCCTGCTGATTAAATTTTATGCGGAAAAAAAAGAGAGAGAAAAAATATGTATTCGTGACTAATTATAATTGACAATATTATTTTATGCCAGAGGAGCAATTTTGGTAAAATGCGATGCATATTGAGAGATCTGGGGTCACCTTTTACACACAGAAACACATTTTCACTGGTTTTCTTTGAGAACGAAGATTTAGCTTATTCCTACTAATTTAACATCAATACAAACCAATAAACATACCCAGGAAAGGTCATGATTTGAACATTTACATCAATAAAGCTGAACAAATGAAGACAAACAAGCAGTGATTCTGGTGATATTTACAAGTAATGAGAATAAAGTTCATCTCAACACTGACATTATCCGTCCCTAACCCCTAGGTACTCAGATGTCGGACTCGTAAAATCCAGGTCGTTTTGTGATTGACATCTCATTCCAGTGGTCTGAGAATAAAAGCTCCTTGCGATCTACTCAGAGGCGAAGGATCCGTTTTTATCTTCTGGAGACAATGAAAATAATCAATTAAAACCACTTATACCCTAACAATGCCATGGCTTATATATCTCTCCACAAACCACTCCTGTCGGGACGGCCTGTAGCAGTTACCTTTCGGGAGTATCAAAGTTGAAATCCTACGGAGAATAAGCCATACTGTTTTGTATTCCAGGATACCGCATGACAAGTTATTTTGGCGGGGATGATATTTTCGCTCTTTCGCGATAAATTAACATGAATGCGAAAACTAAGTTCGTGAAATAATGAAATACATTTGTATTAAAGGGTCCGTTGTAGATAAAGCATGGGGGTTTAGAGGCCTTCTAATAGAATACAGACATTATAACTACTCGTAAAAATGAGAAACCATTTCAAAACATGAAAGAGAAAAATAGACAAGAACACTCCTTTCTATCGTTTATTATATTTCTACAGTACAGGGTCAATCTCAGCGTTACAATGTCAACATGGAACTGATTGTGCGTGGCGGTGTCGATTGATGGCCTGGATACATCAAAGGGGACAATAACACCAGTTACCATACTGAAAACGCATATCTTTACATGAAAGCACATAAAATAATGTCACGAAACAACAACACAGTTATTGAAGAAACACTGATACATTAAACTCCAACAACACAAAGCTTAAAAGATAATACACGAAGCTAAGAAACAAAAATCCTTGAAACAAACACACAACAATACTTGGAGCTAACAGACATCAATACTTGGAGCTAAGAAACAAGAGCACATGGAGCTAAGAAAAAACAGAACATGAGACAAACATACAATACTTGGAGTTAACAAAACAATAACACATTGAGTTAACTAACAACAATACTTGGAGCTAACGACCAGCAATATAAGCAGCTGAAAAGAAAGAATACACGAAAAATACCCACACACACAATAATACTGCCAGGAAAGAGCAAAGACGCTAAGAATCAACAATACATAGTGCTCAGAACCAACAACATCAGCACATGAGAAAGTACTATTTACGGTCTTGCTAAACAACTGGACTGATTTAACAAATCTTTAAAAAATTGCAGAGACAACGGTGCAGAGAGCGATAAAACAACTAGTCGAATTATCAATTATCGGAACAAAATCTTTAGACATCATGTGATAAATAACCTTGAACTCTCATATTACAGGAAACTCGGAAGTGTGACCTCCAGTCATTGAAAGATTATAACATCATGCGACTCAAGACAAAAACAATTTTCAATCTCGTAGAATCGATCATAGCTGCCGGCTGCAAAGCGTGTCAGCTGTCATAATACATACGCATATCTTGCTTACTTTGGTCGCTTGGAGATGACGATCGAAAGTAATGACCAAAGTCTGTCCCATTACAGTGAGTCATGCTATCAACAAGGCGTCCAATCAAAAGGATTACTGGTGACGAGACTTTCGGTTAAAATAGCCACTGGTAATGAGTCTTCCCATGAAAAGAACCACTGGTAACGATTCTTTCCATTAAAAGAACCACCGGTAACGAGACTTTCAGTTAAAGAAAATACAGGTAACGAGACTTTCAATTAAAGGAACTACTGGGAACGAGTCTTCCAATTTAAAGAACCACTGGTAACGATTCTTTTAATTAAAAGAACCACCGGTAACGAGACTTTCAATGAAAGGAACTACTGGTAACGAGACTTTTAATTAAAGGAACTACTAGTAAAAGGAATCATCCGATGGTAACGACACTTTCTAACAAAAGAACGGCTGGAACAAGACTTGCCATTAAATTAATAGCTGGTAACGACCCTTTATAACAAAGGAACTGATGAAACAAAATCCCAATCAAACGGACTACCGTTAATGAGTCTAGAAAATGGAATGGTGGAACTAAGACTTGCTAGCAAACGAACTGGTGGTGGCGACACTTTCTAACGAAGGATCACATATTAACTCAAATAAAAAGGACTGGTAACTAGGTCTTGTATGATATATCAAGTTAATAAGGAACTGATGCTGAAACTTCCAATCAAAGGAAATAGTGGTAACGAGACTGCCTATCATAGGAAGTACTGGTAAGGAAACTTCTTATCATAGGAAGTACTGGTAAGGAAACTTCCTATCAAAGGGAGTACTGGTAACGAGACTGCCTATCAAAGGGGATACTGGTGTGGAATTGCCCTATCAAAGGGAGTACTGGTGCCTATCAAAGGGAATTGACTGCCTATCAAAGGGAGTACTGGGAAGGTCATATCAAAGGGAGTACTGGTGAGGAATTGCCCTATCAAAGGGAGTACTGGTAACGAGACTGCCTATCAAAGGGGATACTGGTGTGGAATTGCCCTATCAAAGGGAGTACTGGTAACGAAACTGCCTATCAAAGGGAGTGCTGGTAACGAGACTGCCTATCAAAGGGAGTACTGGTAACGAGACTGCCTATCAAAGGGAGTACTGGGAAGGAAACTTCATATCAAAGGGGATACTGGTGTGGAATTGCCCTATCAAAGGGAGTACTGGTAACGAGACTGCCTATCAAAGGGAGTACTGGTAACGAGACTGCCTATCAAAGGGGATACTGGTGTGGAATTGCCCTATCAAAGGGAAACTTGCCTATCAAAAAGGGACTGCCTATCAAAGGGAGTACTGGGAAGGAAACTTCATATCAAAGGGGATACTGGTATGGAATTGCCCTATCAAAGGGAGTACTGGTAACGAGACTGCCTATCAAAGGGAGTACCGGAAAGGAAACTTCCTATCAAAGGGAGTACCGGAAAGGAAACTTCCTATCAAAGGGAGTACCGGAAAGGAAACTTCCTATCAAAGGGAGTACCGGAAAGGAAACTTCCTATCAAAGGGAGTACCGGAAAGGAAACTTCCTATCAAAGGGAGTACCGGAAAGGAAACTTCCTATCAAAGAGAGTACTGGTAAACAGACTTTCTATCACATAGAAAGTACTGGTAACAAACCTCCTTTCAAACAATAGTAACAAACGTGAGACAGGCTTGATTCCGTGACAGCATCGCCATGTCTCTTTCGGACAAGTTTCTTCCGGTCCAATGTCATCAAAGTGACGTCAAATCACCATCATCATCATTAAGTGCTGTCTTTACACTTTTAAGTTTAAAAAACTAACTTATTGTAACAAACTGCTTTCTTGCAATTGTAGTTTCAAAGTTTTTGAAACCATAGCAACGAAAATCAATTTCAGTCAGTATTACACTTATTACGCCTCCTGTCCAAAATCACGATTTCAGTGATATATGACAACAACTGACGAGAATGCTTACACAGCATATTGTTTCAAGAGATCTAGACTCGTCAAGCCTACTTTAATGTTGTAACATTGTTACTATCATTTCTATTTCAATGTGCGACATGAATTTCTAGTTGTTATATGCTCGTTAGTATGTCTGGCTGTTCTATTGTTATAAATATGATTCTTATTTGAGTACGTTTGGTAGTGGTTTGATATTGTTTAGCGTCTAACAGCGTTTAAGAATGGCCTCTTTACGGATGCAAGATGAATGCACGTGTTGAATGTAGGTGTTTATGGAAGGCTGCAATCTGTTTATGTAACCATCTTTGTGATAGCGTTGAACTGACGTAGTCTTTATAGTGCTATCACACTGAAGCTTACTGCCTAAGACAGGCAACAGGACATTGTATCTGGTCACATTATACTGACAACAAGCCAGTGGTTATGTTGATACCTCGCTGTGTTTGTCTCGACCACGGGACTGAAACTTTTCGCAAAGGGGCGATAGTCCAACAAAGGCAGTGTCAAGAGACATTAGGTGGAAAATAATTGTTTAGAAATGAGATATAAAAATTATCCACTAAAAATGGTTGCCTATTTTGAATCATTCAACGAAGATGGTACGTACAATTATAACGCCCTTCCTGCAGGGCAGATATCAAAACTTAACCACACCTAGAATTACACGACTGTTGTGGTCGATCAACCTTTAACTTGTAACTATTTCTTGGGCTCAAATTTGTCCACATTTTTTTTCTTTAAATTACGGGTTCGGGTTTCATGTCTTTTTTCTTTTGTTTCATTCCTAGGATTCATATAGTTCATATCTTGTCTGGTGAAGAGGTTATCAATTAACTGGAAATGTAATTTTGAAACGTGCAAATGCTATTAACAACTGAAGTTGCTATCAGTTCTGAAATAAAGATAGGCGTAAAAAGTAGCCTTATGTTATCGATGCCACACTCAAACAACGCGAGCCATATCAGTGATAAAGAAAATTACTCAATACCACTTTTCATATCTTTGTTTAATGGCTGGTGACGTGATTATCCCAGTCTCTTTGGAATCGACAGTATCACAGATGATTTATAAATAGGATCATATTACAGAATCCAGAACGGATAGACTGAGATCTTGATATCCAGTCAGAACTTAATGTC